TGGTCTTAGCTGGCCAGCTAAAGGGCCCCCATACACCTGTGGCCTCTGGACAGTGCCCAGGGGTGCCCATGCATTAAGACAGCCCTGGCTGGTGATGCTTAAAAATGGAAGGGTCACGCCTCCATATCTTCTGGGAGTGCCCAGCTCTTACCAACTATTTGTTCAGGAGTCAAAGCATCCATTAACCTCCCTGGCGGTATGATTATTTCAGATTTTTGGTGCTGAAAGCGGTACCATTTTTTTGCATGGAAATATGTATTTTTTTTATTGTAGGCTGTAATTTTTAGGAAAAAAAACTCACTGAAATCTGTCCGAACAAGAGTCTAGTAAACATCCCGGGTATGATAAAATTTGAAACACAAAATCATAAATTATAATTTAATAAATAATCATAAAAATAATATAAAAATAATAAAAAATTTAATTCAATAATATAATCAAACCAAAAACACTGAAATGTGAAATAGAGCGCCAAGTTCGCACATTGCTGAGCTCAGTCGCAAAATCGTTTTCAGTTTCTGATGACGAATTTCCCCCACGAATCATTATCACTCAATTCTGTAAGTGGTTCTGATTTACTATCGCTGTTCTCTAGCTGATCTAAACCGCTTTTGACCTAAAGGGACACTTTTTGGACGCCATGGACATTTCTCAGTTTCCAGGCAGAAAGAACAGACAAAATGCAGGCGGGGCGCAGGACAAAGCACTAGGGACAAAATGTATGTGAAATAGGTAGAAACAGCAATGTTTTACTGTGTAAAATGAAAAAAAAAAAAAATGACATTTTTTAAAATTTTTAAATTTCCCGCCGGCGGCGGCGCCCGTACGTCCCGACGTCACAGGGACAGGACACAGAAGCCGGATGCCGGCATCGGCCGGAGGAGATGGCCGGGGACGCTGCAGGGGACACATCGTGGGAGCGCAGGGTAAGGTAAGTGAAGAACACATGCTGGAGCAGCGCCGCAGGGTAAGCCCGAGTGTAGCTCGGGTTACCGCTTTTGGTACTGAAATGTTACCCCGAGCTACACTCGGGAATACCGCCAAGGAGGTTAAAGTTCTGACCAGATGATTTCAATCGAATACCCCAGACACCTGCCTCCTCCATGATGCACAAAGAATGGTTCAAATGATTAAAAAAACCCTCTTCCCTGAAAAACGTATCGATTGCTGCAAATCTTGCTTCCCAGCTCTCTGTAAAAAACAACCTGCCAACTTTGGAACAATGGCATGCCAGAATGCTTGATATTCAATTAATGGAACAACTTGCTTCCTCCCTAAAAGATCAATTTGAGAAGCATTTCAAGGACACCCTGGTTAATATATAGGGACTCTCTGTGAGTCCAAAACTCTGACTTGGGAATGCCATTTGAGAGAGGGGACAACCCCTCTTTCACCAGCCTATGACCCTTCCCCTAGACCCCATTCACCTCCATTCTCACCCCCAATGCAGTCCCCCCTTTCCCCCTTATCCCCCCCCCCTTCTTTTTCTTTTTTTCTTCAGCTTCCCAGCCTTGTCCTCAAATTTTCATAAACTTTACCCTCCTCCCTACTAAACCCCCAATCATTGTATTATTGAAAATGAGACCTTAATAGGGAAAACACCATTTACAATAGAGATGTTGGTTATATATAATATTATATGATTATCTGTTTCAAACAACTGTTGCATTTTAAACTTTTGAAATAATATACCGTATGTCAGATTGTTCTCTTTTATGTTACAAAACTCTGTGCTATATTCTATATATTGAATTGTTCACTGTTACTGGTTTACATAAATAAAGAATTAAAAAAAAGAAATGTAACCATAGTGCAGTTCATCACAACACACGTTATGCCGGGTAATGCAAGTCCATTCACATTTCTATGCGCAATAACGCAAGTAGCAAGCGTTGCAATGCCATCACCTGTGTTTTAGTGTGCTGTGTGGCTTGTTGGCCACTAATCACATCCAAACATAATTCCAGGCAGGCCTGGGTACCATATGGCTGTACGTTTTCAATCGCTGAAGAGACTTAGTAAGCTTACAGCCTGTGAAATTGTAGTAGACATAAAGTAGCATTAAACCCTCTGTGTTTCTTAGTTTAATAATTTGAGCACAATAAATTAAACATTCCCCAGTAAACTCTTCAATACAACTTTTACTTGAGCACTTATAATTTACAACGTTCAGTGCTGCTGGCTCCTGCTCTCTCAGTGCTGCTTCTCTGAACTTCTGGTCTGCACAGGAAAGAGTTAACAGTGGATGTCTGCAGTCCATCTGTTAGTTTTAGGAAGGAAGGGAGGAGGGTGGGCAGTGTCTTATCATCCTAGGCTATGGGGCTGTGTGTTTCTATTGATACACACGGTGTAGGGAGACACAACTCTAGTCCCTGCATACAAGTATGGCGCCATAGACTGCTGGTAAAGAAAGGAGAAACCCTGAAATAGGAAACGTGGGAACATCATGGCGCCAGCCTAAACTGGAACATAGGAAGATGCATGCTCAGTAAGTAATTAAATTAGTTTCTAAATGTTTTTAAAAACAAAACTGACCCAACCTACATTATTCAATTTTGTTCCAACATAACACTTCCATTCATGGCATAAAAATGTGATCATTAAATACATGAAATTTAAATGGGACATTTTGTCATTGGAAATGTATACTGAAACTAAAATTATCCCTGGGGGTATAAGAGAGCAAGTTATACTGGTAGAACATCTGAGAAATGATCGCTTTCTATATGCTTGGAGCCAAGTATACATTGTCCTTGGAATTCAAATTATGTATCTGATTATGAATGAAGAGCCTGCTCACTTTGGAAGAACTCTATCAACAGATTTCTGAGGGTGTCAAAAAAATTACATTGTATCTGTAGCACCCTCCTAGTTAGTATAAGTTGCTAGGCAACATAGTGTAGCTTCTTTATCAGTAGAACGTGATGTTTGCTCTAGTCTGCTCAATGTCTCACAGGCTCCTGATCTGATTACTTCCCCCTGCATGCTAGAGGATTCTAGAATCATAGTGGGAGGAAGAATAGACCGCCATCTTGAATATTTATGGCAATCCAGCCAATCTCTGGAGAGGTGTGTCCAGTAGGTGGCCCATAAATAGTCAGAGACCTGGGACAGTGTGTGTGGGTCTCAGGTCCAGTCCTGCTAGGAGGAGACCCCTGAATGAATAGGAGTCTGTATAGAGACTTCAACTTGTTCACAAACTGAAACATAGTAAAACACTGTTTACTATGCTCCAATGATGAATGGAAACAAAAGCAATCAATACTGATCACTGTCTTCATTCAAGGAAAGAACACATGTTTACCAGCCACCCCCCTCCACCACCACTCTCCATCCTGACAGCGATGCGGGCAGCAGCTGTAGTCGGCGGGAGGGGAAGGAAGAAGAGCCAAGCAGCAGCATTCCCCAGAGGGGCCAATGGGGATCAGTGAGGATGGGGAGGTACTAGAGGTGGGGGTCACAGCAGCAGGGGGGGTCATTATTTTTATTATTTAGCTATGTTTAGCCTGTGGCTCCCAAGCAATTGCAGACGGGAGAGTCAAAAGATGGAAGTGGGGTGGGGAGTGGTGCTGAGGGGGGAATACAGATGCAGCGCAGGAAGGGAGCAATAAGGGGGAAGAGTTCCATTTTAGCAGCTACCGCCAGAGAAGTTGAGGTGCAGGAAGCAGACGGAAAAGGGTGACAGGCACAGAAGTGGTGGCAGGTTGGAGGGGATACATTTTAGGTTAACTCTGATCAACGGCTTGCTAGCTTCTAATCAGAGCTATTGTTTTGTTCAACAGAATGTGCTGAACAGTTCTGCTATAAATTCATGGCCACTGAAGTGACCATAAGCTTATAGCAAAAGGAAGAATATCAGGTCTGTACGGCATACGGATCTGGCCAGCTGGTAGCAGTACTGTAGGTCTGTACGCCATACGGACCTGGTAGAAAAAGGGTTAAAGGAAGTCATAGGCACCTTTCTGCCAGCTGAGAGTTGTGTGGGACATTTGTGCAGATCAGTGTGTGAAGAAAAGAGTCCTCAAAGACGTCAGTTCAGAAGATTTTGGGGTATCCCATGCCCCTCCTCCACATCCAAGTTCATTTTTTCAATCAACCTATAAAAGAAACCCCTAAGCTGTTTTGTTCAAGCCAGTGGAATAAAGGAAATGTTGTGCGCCTGGCTGCATGAGCACTAATTTAGGAGAAAGGAATCGGTTACAACCAGTGCCTCTTTCGGTGGTGCGCTACATATCTGTGCCAAAGAACAAAAATCTAATACAGTATATTGTAGCTTGCTGATCCTTTGGTGTAGTGGGGAAGGATCAGAACCCCTGTCTGGTTTATACTGATATCTGGGGCTCGATTAACCACAAGCCTACAAGGCACTTATACCCCCTTCCTGCTCAGGCCAATTTTCAGCTTTCAGCGCTGTCACACTTTGAATGACAATTGCGTGGTCATGCAATACTGTACTCATGAAATTTTTATAATTTTTTTGAGACAGATAGAGCTTTTTTTTGGTGGTATTTAATCACCTCTGGGTTTTTCCTTTTTTGCTATACAAACCAAAAACAACTGAAAATTTTGAAAAAAATAAACGTTTTTCTTAGTTTTTTTTTATATAAAATTTTGTAAATAAGTGATTTTTTTCCTTCACTGATGTGTGCTAATGAGGCTGCAGTGATGGGCACTGATAGGTGGCACTGATCAGCACTGATGAGGAGGCACCGGTAGGTGGCACTGATGGGCATTGACGGGCATCACTGATAGGCACTGAAAGGCAGCACTCATATATGGAACTGATAGGCGGCACTGATAGGTGTTACTGACTGGCACTGTTAGGTGCCACTGACTGGCACTGTTAGGCAGCACTGAGGCAGCACTGATGGGCACTGACACGCACTGATAGGTGGCACTGACTGGCACTGATAGGTGGCACTGATTGGCAGCACTGATAAGCGGCACTGACACTGTTAGGTGGCACTGACTGGCACTGTTAGGCGGCACTAAGGCAGAACTGATGGGCACTGACACGCACTGATAGGTGGGACTGATTGGCAGCACTGATAGGTGGCACTGACTGACATTGATAGGTGGCACTGGCTGGCACTTATAGGTGGCACTGAAAGGCAGCTCAGATGGGCACTGATATGTGGCATTGATGTGCACTGGTAGGCACTGATATGTGCCATTGATGTGGCACTGATGGGCACTGACAGGTGGCATTGATGGACACTGACAGCTGGCACTGCTGGTGCTACACTGATCATCAGGACACACTGATCATCAGTGTACATGTCACCTCTGAGGAATGCCGATTACTGGCTCTCCTCTTCTCTCGAGCTGTCAGCGTGACAGCTCGTGAAGAGAGAAATGCCGAAAACTGGCATTTCCTTATTTACATGGGATCAGCTGTGATTGGACACAGCTGATCACATGACCAAGCCGATGTCTTCGGCTCTTTCTGGAGCCACACACACACGGTTAGCCTGAGAAGTGCAGGGGTGGTGACCATTTGTAAACTCGGGCACTGCCACTGCCAGTAGGGGGCCCCATGAGATGCCCCTGGTACCTTTTTCATAGGCTTTTTTGAGTTTGGGCAAGGACACAGGGGCCCCATGATCCCCTATTGCCCGGGGGCCCCATGAGTTGTCAGTCCGCCCCTGGTCATATGACGTCCTCCCAGAACGAGAGAACCGCCTTGCGCCCTTCATTTTCTTATATGGCAGGCGGGAGGCGGTTAGAGATTTTTTTCTTAACTTTCTGTTCAGCTGACAATGGTTTTAACACACAAGAAGTGAAAAAAAAAATAAAAATCTGCAACAGGTTCACACACACAAAACAAAAAAGGTGTTCTTGCCTTACCCTACTCTAGCCAACTGGTAAAATTTCTATTCACTTACTGTCCTGGTGCTTAGCATTTTTTTCTGCCAGAAAAATGCTCTCAAAAATGCAAAACAGACTAAAAAATGTCTCTAGACTACCTAATGTGCATGGATAACATTAACAAATAACAATAACAAAGTGTATCTAAATGCAAAACGTATTTTTATTCTGGCTTAGAGGCTCTCTACTTCTCCAGGTGACCATTATCACCGGGAGGTAAAGTAAAATCCAATATTTTTTGTTGTCACCAGAACAAGTATAGAAGGAAAATCTTCTAATTGGAACTTTTTTGTTCTAGTGACAGCTGTCTCAGGCTCCAATCACACCTTGTGTTTCTTGAACATGTGACAAAGCACACAGAAAACGTGTTTTGCCATGTGTTTTGGAAATGCGCTGCAAATGTGTTTTTCGCTTGTAGTGGCAATAATTGTTAATGACACTCCAAGCACAGATAGTAGACATGCTTTTTTCCACATGGCAAAAGCGTTACTAACATGTCAAAACACACAGTGAAAAAAAAAAGGTTCTGGAACTTCTTTGGGGCATTTGTCACACAAAGGGCTGCCCATTCAAGAGAAAATAAAAGTGGGAACTCACGCCATGTCCTGGTATGAATCCAGCCAAAGAGAGGATTTCCGTCACTTTGGAGTGATTTCTTCTTACTCCAAAGTGAAGCATACAGCTGCCGGAACTGCCATAGGCACTCATCAAGAATACCAACTATGACCTCCCTTTCCGCCCCCCTCCTCCATTCCTAGTAGCTGTACTGTAGCTTCCATAAAAAAGGAGGACATTTCATTAATTTCTCCATCCTCCATTCAGAGATTGTTTCTTATTGCTGGAAGTTATAGTACAGCCTCTATGAATGGAGGAGGGGGCAGAGGGGGTGGGCACAGTTGACACTCTTGATGAGTGCCTGTGGCAGGTCCAGCGGCTGTATTAACCCCACAACTCTGGACCGGCGAGTGACCCTCTGTGGTTTCTATACAGAAGGGCACTGACTCGGCACGTGGAAAAATGTGGCCATCATTGTAGTAGCTTGGGCTACTGCAGTATTTTACAGCTTCCACAGAGGTAGATCTAATATTACATGGGGTAGAGGACAAAAGATTTCAACTAAGACAGCACCCACCAGCACAACGGACACTTCTCATTGAATGTATTGTAAGTACTGTCCAATGTGTCGATTAAAGAAAAAAAACTTAGGCTAACCACTGAAGGTCTGCCTTATAGCAGTTTTACTGCTATGCGGTGGCCCTCCTGTGCAAAATCACATGTATATATATGTGAGTTTGTATGGCCGCCATAGGGGGTGCTGTGCACCGCTGGCGGATACCTTCTGCTGTGAACACTCACAACAGAAGCTGATCTGCGAGTGCTGGTGAATGGATGTCTGCCGGTACTAGCCGATCATCGGGCAGGACACAGAACAGAGCTCTGACTATGTAAACAAGGCGAAGTTCTGTTCTGACGGGGGAGGGGGAGTGAAGGAATGTGTGTCCATGGAAAGCTGAGACCACGATCCTTCACTTTACCTAGAAAAAGCACTACCTAGTATACACCAAGTACATAAGTAGGCACACAGTTAACCCTTTGATCACCGTAAATGTTTAACCCACTCCCAGCCAGTGCCATTAGTACGCTACAGTGTCAGTGCATATTTTTAGCACTCTTCACTGTATTAATGTCACTGGTTCTCACAAAGTGTCAGTGTAAAAACATCCGCCACAACATCGCAGTCCCGCTATACGTCGATGATCACCGCCATTACTAGCATTAAAAAGAAATTCCAGTATACAGTCACATAGTTTGTAGACTAACCTTTGTGCAAACTAATCAATATATGCTTATTGGGATTATTTTTTACCAAAAATATGTAGCACAATACATTTTAGCCTACATTTATGAAGAAATTTGATTTTTAGAATTTTTTTATTGGATATGTTTTATAGCAGAAAATAAAAAAATATTGTTTTTTTTTTCAAAATTGTCTGCCTTTTTTGTTTATAACGCAAAAAGTAAAAAATACAGAGATGATCAAATAACACCAAAAGAAAGCCCTATCTGTGTGAAAAAAAATGACATAAATTTTATTTATGTACAGTGCTGCATGATCGCGCAATTGTCAGTTAAATTAACGCAATACCGTACCGCAAAAAATTGCCTGGTCGGGAAAGGGGGTAAATCTTCTGGAGGTCAAGTGGTTAATGTAAAACACACCAAGTCTGGGTTTAGTTTCTTCTGGAGAAACCAAATATCATTCATTGGAATATGAAGGTGCTGTCTTATGACTAACAATAGCATGGCAAAAATACACAACAAAGAGTGATCATCTAAGAATGTGCCACTTAGCATGATATATCCTGAATATAGGTGTGGTTGAATCTCAATTGCAAATACTGACCTGTTATAGAATTTCACCAATGAAGGCCTATCACATACATGATTCTAATTTTAGTAGAGGCATGGATCTGAAAAGAATGAAATAAGCAACTGAATATTAACTTGTTTAACTGGGAATTAGAGCAGCTTTTCAGAAGAAAATAAAGAGAATTTGCAGAGAACAAAATAGAGATTTATTTGAAAAAACAAAAATCAGTTTTTGTTTGGGCTCAGCTTGGACCAAAGTAAGTCTGCTATGTAATATCAGATTGACCTTTGTGGAAGCTATAAATCACTGTAGTAGCCTGAGTGCTGATTCACACATGTGCGGTGCGGATTGAAGCTCAGGTTTCACAGCTAATTGATACAGTAGCTGTTCTCCGGTTCAGGTCAGGTTTGCATCAGGTTCAGGACAGGATTGTCTCTGGATTTTGTTCACACATGTGGTTTACAAATGGTTCCAATAGAAGTCAATAGCCTGTAATCCGCACCTGAACCTGAAGGCACTGCTCAGATATCGGACATGACTCTTTTTCAAACAGCACTGAATCCGCACCCCCAGTGCATCGGACATATGTGAACAGGCACTATAGGAAGCGATGTTTTTTTTCACGTCATGCAGATTGGATACGGTTCAAACAGCATCCAATCCACATACAGTATATGTGAACGGCACTGAGCTATCCTCTTTGGTTACTATGCAGAAGGGCACTTGGTTTGCACCCATAAGATTGTGGTCATCAGACCTCTTAGGAAGCTGTAAATTACTTTAGTAGTAGCCCAAGCTGGTACAGTAATTCATCCTTCCACAGCTTCCACAGAGGTCCATCTGATATCACATAGGATACTTACAGTTAGGTCCATATATATTTGGACACAGGCACAATTTTAGTTTTTTCAGGTATTGACCAAAACATATTCAAGCTATAGTTCTATAATGGATATGGGCTGAAAGTGCACACTCTCAGGTTTAATTTGAGGGTATGTACATCCAAACTTCAGGAAGGGTTTAGGAATTATAGCTCTTAAGAGTAGCCATCCCCCCTTTTTCAAGGGACCAAAAGTAGTTGGACAATTGAATATAATCATAAATAAAATGTTCATTTTTAATATTTTATTGAGAATCCTTTACTGGCAATGACTGCCTGAAGTCTGGAACCCATAGAAATTCCCAAAGACTTGGTTTCCTTCTTTCTGAAGCTTTGCCAGGCTCTAACTGCAGCTGTCTTCAGTTGTTCTTTGTTTGTGGATTTTTCTGCCTTTTAGTTTTGCCTCCAGCAAGTGAAATGCATGCTCAATTGGGCTGAGATCAGGTGATTAACTTGCCATTGCAGAATATTCCACTTCTTTTCCTTCAAAAGCTCCTGGGTTGCTTTGTGTTTTGGATCGTTGTCCATGTGTACTGTGAAGCGCCGTCCAATCAACTTTGCTGCATTTGGCTGAATCTGGGCTGACAGTATATCTCTAAACACTGCAGAATTCATTCGGCTGCTTCTGTCTTCTGTCACATCATCAATAAACACCAATGACCCAGTGCCACTGGAAGCCATGCATGCCCATGCCATCACACTGCCTCCACCATGTTTTACAGATGACGTTGTGTGCTTTGGATCATGAGCTGTTCCAAGCCTTCTTCACACTTTTTTCTTGCCGTCATTCTGATACAGATTAATCTTGGTTTCATCTGTCCAAGAATGCTTTTCCAGAACTGGTCTGGTTTTTTTAGATGTTTTTTGGCAAAGTCTAATCTGGCTTTTCTATTCTTCAGGCTTATGAATGGTTTGCACCTTGTGGTGAACCCTCTGCAGGGGTGGACTGACCATTTGGAAACTTGGGCACTGCCCGAGGGCCCGGGGTCAGTAGGGGGCCCCATGAGATGCCCTGGTACCTTTTTCATAGGCTTTTTTGAGTTTGGGCAAGGACACCAGGGGCCCCATGATCCCCTATTGCCCAGGGGCCCCATGAGTTGTCAGTCCGCCCCTGACCCTCTGTATTTGCTCTGTGAAGTCTTCTCTTGATTGTAGACTTTGACAATGATTCGCCCACCTCCTGGAGAGTGTCCTTCACTTGTCTGGATGTTGTGAATGGGTTTTTCTTTACTATAGAGAGGATCCTGCTATCATCCACCAGTGTTGTCTTCTGTGGACGTCCATGCCTTTTTATG